AGTGAAGTATCTTAGCATGCTAACATTTGCTAATTAGCACACAACACAAACTACAGTTGAGGCAGATGGGAATGTCAGTTTTGCAGGATTTATTGGCCGTAAACCAAAATACCAAAGTTCTACTATCTAAAGTAGTGGATTTCTAAGAGTAGGTGCACATCAGCTCTTAGTGACTGGGTGCTGCACATGGCATTGCACATGGCATGTGTTACAAATAGAGGCAGATCTTATCTCAAAGGTTTTGCTGAGATGGACTCCAGGCAACAGGAAACGTGGACAATCACAAGTGACTAGGTGCAGAACAGCTGTGGAAAAGCTGGCCAAGATGAACCTAACTTGAGGTGAGGCTCAGCATGTTGCCAAGGATATGGAACAATGGAGGGAACACTTTTATCTTGAGTTAGTAGAAATCACTCTTACTCACAAGTATCTTACTCAAGTGAAGATTGTATTGATTTATTATTCTATGTATTCTATTTCATTGGTTTTTTTTATGGTTTCAGCACTTTATTTGCATGTCTTGCTGAGCATATTTATGTCAGGCATATACATTCAATACATGTGGATAAAGCTCATGAAAATGAAGTAATAAAAGAGACTGATCATGAGAGAGGGGAGTGGGAGGGAGAAACAGTCTATGTAATCTGAGTGCCAACAGAGACGTCGAGGGGCTTCCAGATCGATGTGATGAGCACCGTTGTAGAGATGGACCTTTCTTCCTGCAGTCTGCTGCTCCACAGCCAGAAACTGTGTTGCTGCAAGCTGAAACTAGATATCAATAAATGCTCTTTCTTCCTCGTTCTCTTCTTTTCTCTCCTCCTTGCCGATGCCTTCACCTTTATCCTCACCTTTCTCTGTTTAGATGTTTTTGCTTCTTCTCCATCACTCTAAGCTGTCAGGAGACAGTCAATAAAAATCATGCTGGAATTATTAAACAGTCGGAGAATACGATGCACTGCCTTTGTAGTGCAAATTTTACAGGAGAGGCTATGAGGAGAGCAAGTGCATTGGTGTGCTTGGTATTTATTTCTTTCTGATTAGAGTATCTAGAGATCTACACAGTAGACTTACGTCTTCATGCCTCGCTAGCTTTTTCTGTTCTCAATGTGCCCTCTTTTTCTCCCTCAAACACACTTCACTCACATACTGGTTGTCTATCTCCTCGAAGATACTTTTTAGTTCATCATAAGAGGGTTCACCTCTTATGGGGTAAGTGATAACATTGCAGCAATCAAAGAGTCTGGAAGCATATATTGGAGAAGCAGCAACATAAAAACATTTACCGGTTATTGTCGGAATCGAAACCAATACTGACAACTTCCTTGTTAATGGGGAGGGTATTGACAAGCGGCTAGCATGTTATGATCATTCATTGACCCTCTCAGGGGACAAGTGATTAATTCAAAGCCACATTAACAAACCCAGAGGAATACAGAACTACCAGAGCCCTTCATGTCATGTTAGTAAATCATTTGTCACAGCATATTATGGACCTACGACAAACTGTGCCTGTGTGCCACAGCTGTGGTGACGAGCATCACTACCCACTGGTGACAGCGCTGAATGCATTAATAAGATGCTCGTGCTTAACATAACTGGAGCTGTGCTGCAGGCCAAAGGCAATTTACCACGGGAGAGACTCACATATATTTCGCCCTCTTAAGCAGGGCTGTTAGTTTACCTTGAGGAGCAGTAACATAAAAACGCAATGGCATAATAACCAGAGCACCGCCCTCCACCAGCCAGTTATCATAAGGATAAATCCTCCTTATCGTCACTTCCAACAGTCGGAGCGGCTGAGAGGAGCAGCCACAAAATTAGAACATAATCTTCCCGAGGGCCAAGGCGTCGACAAGACTAGATCAATAACACCGGGGATTCATGCCAGGAGTGGATATTTTCAGATGAAAGAAAGGTGAACTTGTCCAGGCAATTCCAACACAGCACAGGGTTGTTATTGTTACTGTGGAGCTTCTAGTAGTGCTGTTTGAGTGTATGGACATTACAGCATGTCCCACTGGGGAGGAGACGGACTGGTGACCTTACAGTACGGGAAATCAGCAGATATGTTATGAGTGGAGTTTTTATTTTGATTTATTGCTTTAAAATCACATTTATTCAGTTGACATACAACTGACCATTGATTGATTCATTCATACGTCAACCCAAAGCCAGTGGACACTTCTGACCTAATCTTGTGATAACTAAAGTCTCATATATCTTAATAATACAACTGCAGGCCTACTTGCTCTGCAACTACCTGCTTACGTCTTGTGACCGACGTAGGCGCGTGTGCAAAAAGTTAGCATCTGTGCAGCGACGCAGGGTGTGGCCGTCGTACTCGCCATTGCATCCTGACACCAATACAGCATCAGTAATGACATCTCTCCGGAGAGCTTTGGCCTCAAGACGCAATGAAGCATGAAAGGGAGATGGAGGAAGACAAAGACGGAAAGTAGGCAGAGAACAAGAGAGCAGGAGCGAGTGTGCAACAGAGCAGAATATTCGGGGTGTAATTATTCGGTGATGGGTGATAAAATGACACAGGAAGAAACAGAAGTGTAGAGGTGTTGCATACTAATGTCCGTTACAACCTGCAATCTGCATCTCTTAACAAAAGCCAGCTGCAGTTAGAAGCTGTTTTGCACCTGTACACAGCTGATTAAACGCGATGCACATCAGCAGAACTTGAGAGCTACGAAGAGTTACCGCTGAATCTCCATAAAGAAACGTTCACCTCCCGTTCACCTCTACTGGGTGCAAGAGAGGCTCCTTTGTGATTCTCTAATGCAAGAGCAATGCAAAGTCTCTGTCTCTCTGTATGAACTATAGAAATCCACTGTGGTGCTAACAGAATTAGATACTGACTCATGGATTAGTCTGGATAGTTGAAAGACTACACAACAATACCAAGGAGAGGGGTAAATAACCAAAGGCTCTATTAAACAATAAAACTGGGCTTACAGGATTTGCCACAGTTTATCGGTTCCCAAGTAAATTGCTTGATTACTAAATATAACTCACTTGTGTTAGCAAAGACCGCACCCAAGTTGGCAGTACATGAAAAAAGAACTTCATCATTGGATTGTAAATGAACAAACCATGCAACACTGGCCAAGATATTTGTATATAAAGGATCTATGCTGCAGCGGAGGATATCCTAATTAGGCCTCGGGAATATTTTAGGATAAATGGTTTGTCCGTATCGCTCTGTGTTGTTTTTGGCATGACATGACTGCTCTATCCATCAAGGCTAAAGGAAAAACGTGTACCCAAGCCTGTGTTTACTGCCTAAATATGTCAGACCACATGATGATGAAAGTCTTTTCAGAAATGAAACTGCAGTACCAAATAGCACAGGCACTCGACATTCTGACAGCAGCTTTCATTAATTTCTTCAGTCCGAAAGCTCGTTTGACTATTCTTCTGAATGCAACAGCAGCATTTCTCTGCATTTACAGCCCCACGAAGATACATTTAAAAGGATTTTTTTCTCTTGTATACAGAGTGACCGAGGACATATTCTCAGGGTCTCTCTCATGATGAGCAACCTTGAAAATACCATCTCTGGTGCTGTTTTACAAGCAGTGGCATCCACAGCTAGCAGAAAAAGCAGCTGGAAAAGAAGACCGGGAGGTGAGAAAGAAGTTAAAGTTTTAGTGCTTTGCTCGGAAGGTGGGGATTAATTGAAAGTAATTAAGGATGTGACCATCTCTCCGGGGACCAGTAGAAGCCTTCTACCCCATCAATCAGCAGCTATCTGTCCCGAGCCTAAACCGGCAGACTGGCGGTACAGTGTGGATAGACATCACATCTTAAGCACTGATCGTTCATCATTCCGCTGAGCCGTGATAAAGTCAAAGAAAGTTTCAAAGCTCTGCTGATGAGATACTGTCAAGAAAACTAAATTGAGGCACAAGTCGTCGCTGGCAACTGACGAGGCGGAGAAGACGAAGAAGTTGGTGCTGCAGTGAAGAAAGCAGCCTGAAGCAATGTTCCAATAAAAGCAGAAAGTTATTTCAGACATTACAAGGACAACAAGATGCCTTTTTCCTGACAAAAACGGACTTTTGATCATTAGAAAAGCTTTGGAACTGAGTTCAGTTCACGATTATAATCAAACAAATGATTATTTTAACTATTGATTAGGTAGTTAGGGCGTTTTCTCAATTAAAGTTAACCTTCCCAGAATAAATTTGGCATATTTATATACCAAAATCCAAAGCAATTTAATTTACAATCAATAAAAACAGAAAAAAACAAAGTATTTACATTTGAGTTGCTGGATCCTTTGAAATTGTGTCATTTATGCTTGATCACCCGAATGACTAACCTGATAGCAATGTTTGCTGATTAATTGTGATCACTCGACTAATCCATTCAGCTCGAAGCTTCTTTACATCACTATCACCAGCCAACAAGATGGCTTTCCCTCTCATATGTAATACTCCGATGTCATCCGGGGTCAAAATGCCAATGTTTGTTTCACTGCACTGGGAAGACAGACGCTGTGCTGTCAGAGTAAGGTAAAATACAGCTATTTTGGATGGATGGGAGATTATCTGAGTCCAACGGCCTGCTGTCATGGGAGACTTAGCTCCTACTGTGGTAGACTAATCTCCCCGTGCTTGCAATGCTACAGACAGCGGTGGATATATTGTGCTTCTGTCCTGCATCGGTATGCTGTGAAGCACTGCAGGGGATACATGTAAGGGATTAGCTTGAGTTAAAAATGTAATACAAGCTGGTGCAGAAAGGGGAAATCACCTGTCTGTCTGGTCTTTGTCTGCTCTGTATTACAGCTGTGGGGGGTCAATAGTTCACGAGACGAACAGACAGCAGAGGAATAGTTAACCTCTGTGAGCTTCATAATGTCTTGTCAGTACGTTGTCACAAGATAATGGTCTGATATTCTGGTTTTGTTATCCATTATTTCTCCACGGAGAGTACAAACGTGCGGAAAATGGAAATAAATCATGAAATTACTTAAAGTTACTAACCTTGGCCTTGCCAGTGCTCTGTAGAATGTGGACCAGTGCACACGCCATCTCCTCCTTGTTCTTGACGCTAATCCCGGGCTCAAGCACTGAGCATAGCAGCATGTAGTTATTGGTGGTGTACTCTGCAAACTCCTTGTACATCTCCATAGGAAGGATGTTCATACTCTGATAGCGTGCTTTGATCCTAATCATAGGCCCAGATGTCTTGCCCTTCGGGGGGTTGGGTGTGCTGACTGGATACCACTTCTCAACAAACTGTCGTCCGGTAACAGCTGCGACGGGGATATTGACAAGTCCAATGTAATTGTTTTTATCTTTCTTTTTCTTCTTGTCTGTGTCTTTGTAGAGGTGGGCCGTGATGCTCTTGACAGGAGGCAGGTTATTGAACTCAAAGTGCTCTCCCCAGAAGACATTGTCAGTCTTGAGTTTACAGGTGGTGCGGGCGTAGAGTGAGTCATCCAGACAAAGCTCGCAGAAGTATTTCTTTTTGGCCGGCAAGTCCTTTGCCTCGATGATCCACAGCTTCAGCAGGTTTTCCACCCGACGACTGTTGTCCTGGGGGCAAGATAAAATGACAGGAAGTGAGTTAGCGAGGTCTTTTACAACAGATTGTTGCCAACAACATCACAGCTGGGAACTTTAGGAAACAAGAGTTCAAAATCATAACGTAACGGAAGAAAGTATTCAACCTAAAACTAATCTTGTAAAGCAATAGACTAAACAAATCAAATGACAACAGAAATAAATTGATTCAAGTGAAAATGTTCAATCATTTCCTAGTGGCCATTTAAAATCCTTCCTCTCCTGCGTTTGCAGTCTTTAAAAAAAAAAAGTGAAGAAATCTCACTCCCTCACTCCTACATTATTTCACAGAGTTCTAACCCATTTTTATGTCATCAATCGATTTTGCCAAGAGCGGGGAATATTTTTGGCCCATTATTCAGATTGCCTTGAAAGCTACCTCTGAAGACGAAGAAGAGGAGCTAATAATTACAGTATTAGAAAGAAATACCAGAGCCTCTCATAATCACAAGGATGTTTGAAATAGTTGTAGCTTTGTTTAAGAGAGCTCAACAGTATCTGGATGCTTTTCATATGTTTGACCAAATAATTGATTTATTTTATATGTTTCTGTGGCTGTCGTCTTTAAATTCCTCCCAATATCAGGTGTTTCTGAATGTATCTTATCTGAACTTTAATCTTATCTTTAATGTGTCTGTGGTTCATATAAGCTGGGGCAGCTAAAAGAAGGTATATAGGATCTGTCAAACAGACTACACTACTGACTCCTGTACTGTATGTAAAGTATTCGCTGTATTGTATCTTCCGCTTGGTACTGTTTCTGCAGATTGAGAGCTAGATTTCAAACTTGGTGTCACATGTAATCCGTGATCAGTAAATTCACGTTAATTTCCCTATGTTGATGCAACGAAATTACCACCCACTGTAAGTGAAGGTGCTCTATAACATAAATTAGAAATTAAACTTTGTGTTATGTTTATCTTTCAATGCAAACGGAAATGTATTTGCTATTAGACACCCGCCCACGAAGATGATTTATTTACCTATTATCATAATTACCCATAATTATCCTCTTACACAGGAGCTGAATTGTGCAAGCTTAGCATTTAGACCACCTTGTTTCATTTACATTGATTTTACCTCTGGCAGACAGGTCTTGCAAATTACTGAATGCATTTATACTTCCTTTTGTTATTCCATATTTATTAACTATATGGGCATCTTCTTCCTCTTACCAAACACCATAAAGACAATACAAATAATGACTTGTAAACCAACAAAAAAAAAGCTTTCCCGATTTTCTCCTCTGTTGCCCAATATGTATAACCATTGTTTATCATAATGGATTAAACTTTAGTCCTTTTGAGAGAGAAATATGTTTTCAGTGAATAAAATGAATGACTTTTTATTTACTTAACTGTATCTTGATTTATTTGCTTGTCCTCTATATGCTGGATAAATGATCTTAGTATAAACAAGTACATTTAGTTGACAGTAATGTGTTACCTTAGTCATGGGTCTAGTCTGGTCTAGTATGTGAGAAGGAATACTACTGGTGGTATTACAGTAATAGTGGTCAGGTGTACCAGAATCAGTTTAATCTATTTGATACATATACAGAGACTTCCTTATCTAAATCCAAAGAAATTTCCATATCTGTTTCCAGTTTATGTTTGCCAAAACACATTGCACTGCATCTAATCTCTCAAAATCATAGAATAATTAAAAACCAGAGACAGAAATAACACATTCTTGCCAAAATAGCTGAGGAAAAGGAGGACTCCAACGCTATTAGGGAAGTTTTTTTTTCCGAAGTTCTAATTAGTGAGTAATTTACTAAATAATGACAGATGAAGGAGCGAAGACGCTGTGAGATTAAGACTATTTTCTTGGCTTGATATATTTGCCACTCTCCCTCTGCCGCAGCTGTGTTTATCAAGAGTACAGATGGTATCAGTGTTCAAGAGAAAAACACTTCTTGGGAGTCTGGGTGTTCCTCCCTGCAACCTTTGTGTCCTCTGCTCTTGAGGTTTACAGTGCAGGAAGAGAACTGCTGGATGTCAACATATAAGATTGCTTTGTTGTACGAGCTACATGCACCAGTGACACGATGTCAACACCATATAGCTCACTGTCTTTACACTAATCAACGTTGCAAAGCGTGGTTTGGAATTGGGACACTTGTACATGAACTTATTAGGGTTGATTATTACACACAGTCTCGTCCCACCTACTGTGTATTTACATATTTACCTTGTTGGGTTGTACTGCTCTCCTCAGATTCTCCATCCATTTGTCTCTCTCGGCTGATGAACGACAGGAAAAACATTTGCTTCCTGTGGAGGTGGTGACCTACCGCCGTGCGAGAAAAGGAAAATGAATGCTTTAATGATCAAACCTCATGCATAACAATGACAGAGAAGAAGTTGAACGGAAATCTTTACTAAACTTAGTTCATAAATATCCCTTTGTCTCTGACGAAGACGCTAAGAAGCTTAGTGACAATACACACATATACACAGTAGTGGATATGACTATGGCAGTGTTGAGGAATGATGAATTGTGTGAATGGACAGAGGAGACAGATGACTGCTTGGCAGGCAGGGTGATAACTGGGTGATTAAAAAATGCACAGAGGGACACGGGGAACAGAGAGAGAAGGAAAAAGAAACAGAATGATGTAATGAGCAGGATAATAAAGATTAGTGTAGGATTCTGGTCTCTACAGAAGACACTCTAGGATAGAAAGTATTCATTCATTTCTTGCGCCCTGGGGCTACCAAAGGGTCTCTAGCTAACACTACAGCTGCAACATGCGTTTGTGCACACATATCATGCATATGTGAATTTAACGGTAATTTGAGGCTGTTTGGAAATGAATGCAGTTCACTGATGATCATAAGGATGTAACCTTTAATATAGACAAGCTGTCTGCATTTGATCATTCGGTTATAATAGGCCATCAGCAGCTAATCAAGATCAGTTATAAGATGTGAAGTGAGAGGAGCCGTTGGTTCCGAAAAGTATTGTTCCCAGCTGGTAACTCACATTTCAGCTTTCTTTTAATAATTGTAATGGGTATTTTATTATAGACATTTTTTAGACCAAATGATTAATTGAGATAATAATCAGCAAAAAATCCATAATGAAAATAACTGTTCGTTGCAGCCCCAGTTGCTATGGAGAAAAAGCTAAACAGAGGCGCAAATCAAAGCTGTAAAAAACTTGGAGTTGTAAAAATGGTTTGTTGTTGTAACTGGCAACAGAAAAATCTTCAGTTGACCCAGAATCTGGTTTCTACAGAGCCTAATTCTTTAGCTTCTGCTTAGTATTTCCAGCACATGCAAAATTATCACCCATTGAGTTGTTGTGGTGTATGTGTTGGCAAACATTGCCATTTACACATCCAGCAACATTAACATTGATTTGGAGTTGCATTTCTGGCCACCTGACTAATGGTAAGTCCAACATTCACTCTTTCTTTAGCTATACTTTGGCCCCCTCCAGTTTCTGAGTGTCAATTCTAACTCTTTAGCTGCTAAGTGCTCAATCACTCTGTAGAGTTTAGGGAAACTGCAGAGTTTGATGAGAATTCTATGTGAACTGAATGGCTCTTATCAAAATGCACCTTGGGTGCAGCTTTTAACAATTTGACTTTTGCTCAAAGAACCAGACATTTTCCTATACAGTTGTTTCTTTTTTTGTACTGATGAGTCACCAAAGATTGTCTATGCAGAACATGAACAAAACTTTTACTTAAGGGGTATTTGATGCCTGAAAACAATAGCAACACCAGATGTATGGCTGTCCCTGGATGCTCTAATGAAGCAGAGCCAGTAGCAGAACTGTTCTATAGGACTATGGAGACACATAATGCGTATTTGTGTGTTCATGTACCGTGTGCTTGTGTACCCACTCACCTCAAAGCAGTAGTCCTGCCCGAGGATGCTGCTGTGAACAGGCTTGATGACAACCTCGTCCTCCATACTTAGGTCCAGGGCTTCCACAGCGCTACTGGGGCTGAGCAATGACTCATGGGAGCGAGACTCCTTCAGCCTTGGCATCAGATGAGATCTAAGAGTGGAAAAAGGGAGATAACTGAGTCACCCTGCAGAGTCTGAGTAGAGAAAGTGAGAAAGAGGGAGCATATGCAGTGCGCGCATTAGTGAGCGTTCATGGTGAGTGTGAAGCAAGAGAGTGTGAGGATGACGAAGACAATGCTCCACTCAAAGTCAGCGAGTCCTCAGCGTGACAAGCTTGCACACCATATCAACACATGTTCATGCACCCACTTCTGAGCTCACTTGCTAATGTATGCTCTGGGACTTATTTGCAACTTGAGACATCAATAAATGAATGAAGAAGCATGAAAGAGCCGAGCTGCTCTGCAAACAGATGCAATGGTGGAACCACTATAAATAGGAAGCAATTCATATCACTGATTATCATTAATGGTCAGGCTTAGATCATTTCTATGATGTGATAATGCTTCACTGTGATAAACCACTTACTATCTGTTTTGTGGAGCTCCATTTAACAAACACAGCAGTTTAGAGTGCACTTTAGAAAGTTCAATATTCTGACAAAGACAGCCCTGAAGCCCTATTCACTGATATTATTTTAGCCAGAGAAGATTAGGAGATAAAGTAAAGAGCTTTCCAGTGTTTGTTGTGTTTGATGTGACCACAAAACAACAAATGTGTTCTCCTTGATCCACATTATTGAGCTCGATATTTAGCCCACCATTTAACTAATCTAACATACAATAATAACCAGCTTTGCTGAAGTGTCGTCTAGTAAAAATAATTGTTTTAAGTCATTTGTCTTACATCAGACCCTGGTGCTCGTGTGTTTCTATGAACTATCAGCCTGACCATGTTCCAGTCAGCCTCACAGTGATAAGAGGATGAAAAGCTAAATATGCTAGGGAGGGATGTAAGCAGCGGCAGGCAAGCTACACAAACATTACCCCTCGACACTCAGGCACTGTGGCAGGATGAGGAAGACAGGGTCAATTCCTAGTGTAATGGGTGAGAGCATTCTGTTAACAGTTCCCTTTATGGATGGCTTACACAATAATCCCATGTATGTGAGTAGGCCGGGTGTGTGTGTGTGTGTGTGTGTGTGTGTGTACTGTACATCTCTTCTATCGACTAAAACAAGAGCATTCCAGGAAAAATACAACAACCGTAATGACAGATTAGCAACCGCATGCAGCCCTTTGTACAGTCAGCCAGCTTTGTTGTCAAATCCGCTGTCCAATGTGAAGTGGATAATGATCTGGGCTCTCTCTCATTTTTATTTCACACACACACACACACACACACACACACACACACACACACACAGAGTCAAATTTAATCCTCTGAAATAAAATACAAAAATACATGTGCAAACAACTCAAAGATTGCTTCGCATATGACATTTTTTTTCCAGTTTTAGGAGCTTCTAGCCTTTTCCAAAGCACAGCTGCAGGAGAAGTGTGTTTGCACCTAGCTCTGCTTTGTGATTGGCTGTCTGGGTACTGGGCAGAACAGAGAGCGAGTCAAACAAGCGGAGAGGAGGGGAAACAGGGGGTTTTCTAGTGGGATGTGCTGTTAGAGACAGGAAGGGATGGGAACTTAATGTCTGAACCACAGTCCCAAAAACCTGCATGGTGATGTTTTTATGCCTCACATGCTACAGGCTGTAGCATTGCCAGGTTATTTTTTCCCTTGTAGTCTGTCATCCATTTTAACGAACTGGTAGCATACACATTTATTAACACAATATTTAGCCAAAACTAATAGGAAGCATACCAGTATTTTTCCTCCTGTGAAAATGGACTGGAGCGAGCAGCCGGAAGCAAGATCTGGAGTAATATTCTACATGTGAACAGAAAGCACTGCAGAGGAACGCATCTTCAAAAAGGAATATATATTATTCTTCTATTATGATTTTCTTTTTCTCTCAGCACATTATATTAGAACATTAGTGTCAGTGGAAATGGTGGGAGACTGTGTATTGAATTGATGAATTATAATGCTGCCTGTCATCTGTATGGCACTGTATTAAATTGTACTGTAACGTGTAATTTACAGCCTATTGTGGACCACTTTGTAATAATGACAATGAAAGACTGTCTGGCGTGTGAAATCTGCTCGTAACTTCTATATCACCCAGTGAGACATGCTGTTCATGTCAGCCTCTGCAAATAACGACTGGTATTAAAAGCAGGGCCTGATGTTCTGTCTCATTTCTCTAGCCTTTGGTCCCCCCCCAACGTTGCCTATTCTCAGCAAACGTCCTTCTTTGTCCTTGAAAATCCTCCATCGCTCTGCCTCCATTTCTCTCCTATCCTGTCTTTCTCTCATTCAGTGTTTACCTGAGGTGGCAGGGGTAGTGTTTATGTTTGGAGGATTCCAGACTCTCTGGTACACATCTTTCCATCCTACTCTCATGTTCCTTCACTGTTCTGTTAATGTTTCTCGCTGTGTTTATCTCCCTTCTTCTCTCTTGGCCACCAATCAATTTAGCCCTCTTCGGCTTCTGGATTTCAGTCGGGCCACCTAAATATTTATGACGCTACGCAGGAGATACACAGGCCTCTGATAGTACAGAAACTTCTACTGGCTTGTACACACAGACACACAGAAGTACAGTATACAAAGCCCTGGAGTGAAATGCATAATTGAAAAGGTCAAGCCATAAAGAACAGCCTTTGTAAAGGCCATGTCAGAGATACAGGAAATGTTGCAGATACAGTTCATACTGTGTATATATAACACCTTGTTCGGATGCATAACTGGATGAAATACTTGTATGAGAGCATATGCAACTAAAGAGACACACAGATTTGTATTTCTATATGAAAATACTTATGTTTCTATTTAGAAAAATAAAATAATGAAAACAATCGAGCACCAGTAACTCCAGTGTTGTTGTATTGTATGCTGGTATGCTTGACATTCAAAAATCACTCACTGGAACATATTAGGACAAATTGTCAAGAAATCATGGGGGAACAGCAGGCTGACCTGCACCACCTACACCTGTACCTGACCAGGCTGAGTGAAAAAGCAGAACAGGTCTGGATGAATACATCCCATCCCACTTTCACTTTTTCACTTCTGGTCAGAAGTATAGAAGATCAGAACCAACCGAGCAAAATCTAATTTATTCCCATGGGAATAACTCAATTAAAGATACGGTAGCCATGGGGAATCAGGGGAAATACATGGACCAGGGGATGTGAAATACACAGATACATAGGGGGTGTGCACTATACCTACTATTTATTTTTTTATGACAAATGTTGGTATACAGTATATATTCACTTAAAATGCCTGCCTGGACAGTGGTGATACTTATGATGGCTGCTACAGATAATGTTAAACTATTGTTGCTTTTATTTTTCTGATATGTGTATGTTTTGTTCTGTAACACAGATTGTCTCTCAGGGGACATTAAAGTAATTTTTAAGTCTGCACATCAGTTTGTATTGTTTTAGACAGTAACTTTGTGTATGCTGTGATGTTTTTATCAGGTGCTAAGAGTGATAAAAGGGGGGGGGTGACATGAAAAGTCTGCTGTCTAGACTCAAACAACGGACATTGTAGTTAGGCACACTCACATTAGTCTTGTTTTGGCCTTCCGTTTGATTTTAAAGAGAGAGTAGCAGCATGACATGAACACTTTATCTACAGTAGAAAAATCAGAAACAGGTGCCCCGACATCAAGGTGTATTGCACCTTTTCTTTTTCAATGTGCCAACCTTTCCACATCAGCCAAGAACTTATTTGCAATATTGCCTGAAATATTCCAATTTTCTTTTCTGAAAATGTCCTCAAAAACACATTTAGACTTTTATCATTTGAACACGTAGTTGGTGATATAGATGTACATTCACTACTTAGAAATGTATGCCACTGCATCAGGCCAAATCCTATAAGCACAGTCTCTGATCTAGACCCACTGTGCCCTGCTAATGTTCAATAGAAACTCAGTTAGGAGTAAGTACCGGGGAAAGTAATGGATTCTGAGTGTGTCTGGGCTGCACACAGTGCGCTTTGTCTCTGCATCCTGTAAAAAGAGTTCATCTGATAGCGTGTCTGGGATCTGATATAGTCTGAAACCTCGGGCCCATATAGGCGTCAGAGCACTTAGACTTCTAACACACTGACTTGCTGGCTAGCTGGCCGCACCACAAGGGACTAGGTTTGTACTGATAGCTCAAGATAGGCTGAATTAATGCACTTGCAACTCCAAATAACAATGCTCTGAAAGTCTACATCCTACTGGGTTGCTACAAGATTATACATTGTTTCACAATAATTACACCCACTACAGCACGTTATAGCGCATGTGAGGTGGTGTTAATCTTCATTAGGGATATAATACCCTCTTTGTGTTGTGCTTCGACTCACGTTACTATAATAACCAACATTAAAATGACCCTAATGACCAAAGCTAAAGTTTCTGACATAACCTAAAACAACAAATACTTTTCTCAAGAGAGGCCTCCAGTTAATGCTAGTGTTAAGCGGCACGATGTTAAGTCTTCTTGTTAACCAGTGTTTACTGTGGTTACCGCCCTGCACAGTGTTTACACAGAATTTTGCTTTTCTGTTAGACCAGCATTTACAACAATCAATATGCTTTTCACTTGCAGACTGGCACAGCAATTACTTGTTAAAAATGGCCTCTACTAAAAGACCTGAGACCTGTGTGCTAGTGGGCGTGCATATCAACAAGTAGAGCCAAGCAAAGACATACAAGGTGACATGTGATTGCACTCACAATTTTTGATGACATTTAGCTGTTCCAATGGACTTTAGATGGACTTATTGTTGGTTGGCTAAATGTTATGTAATATAAAATGACCTGACTAAATGTGTAGAGAAATATCACAAATGAAGCTTCCATGCATGGCATGAGGGCTCACTGATGGTTTGAGCATGAAAATGATGTGAATATTTAGCCCTAGTTTAAACCTCTCATGTATTACAATTACATCCTTGTCTCAGTTTTTCTAAAAAAAACTATAAATGTGTTTTATACAGACACAAATTATTTGATTAATTGAGAAAGGACAC